AGCTGTAGGATGTTTACTAGGATGTTTACTTCAGTAGCCTAGTAAAATCAATGGTGCAGTAATCTACTGGCTGGTTTATTCCTTCTATATTTTTATTTGAAGCCTTGAATATTTATTGAGCGTAGCTTCGCTCCGCTTTTTGGGATCAACTTCAATACAATCTTTATAACTCTTAATCTCAATAACGGCTGAACATATTTTAGCCAAACTTACCAAGGTTGTTTTGTCAAATGTTAGAATGGTTTAGACGTAACCATTTTCAATTTTTGAAGATTCCTATATAATTTTAAAGTAGGCCTAACTAACTCAAAGATTTAAATTTGAACATTGGCCTTATGGGTTGCCATGATTGTTACAAAATAACGACGTGAATGTAAACAAAACAAAGAATCATATATGTTAAAATCAAGCCACAACCTAAACACAGTACAAAGGGGAAAAATTCTGCAACTGATCAAATAATACAGAGAAAGTCTTAAGGTACGTCCACACCGAACGCGCAGAGCTGCGCCGCGCTGCGCAAAACATGTGCGCGCCGAGCGGCGCACTTGGTGTGGACGGCGAACCGCGCAGCTACGCGCACTCGAGAACATCCGCGAACACGATCCGACTGATGGCGGTATTTTGACGAACATCTTTGAAGTTTGTTCGCCTTTGCGCGCTCAGTGTGGACGGGCATTTGCTCAGTTGTTGCTGCGCGTCGTTTCGGCTCGAACTGTCACTACCTGTGTATGATCAAAATGGCTTTTGAATGGAGTCGTGAGTGCATCGAGACTCTGGTGAATGCATATCGAGTTCGAACGGAGTTATGGGACCCAAAAGACAATAACTACCATATTAAAAATAGAAAAAGTGACGCCTGGGCCTCACTGCCCACCACTGCTCACTGCTCACTGAAATTGCCAGTGAGGTGGGTTGTGATCATGGAGAGGCGAAATCAAAAATGACATCCCTGCCCTGTGGTTTTCTCCTTCTTTTTAACCGATCATTATAAATAACAATAAAAACCGAAGCAGCTATTGCAGGGTCCATTTTCTACATCGGTATGATTGTGTAGCCCGCGCAACACGGATCACAGCCGCGCAACTATGAACATGGCGCTCTGTTCCGCCCAGTTTAGCGCAGTTTCGCGCAGCGCAATATGCTTTGCACAGCGCGGCGCAGCGCGGCGCAGCTCTGCGCGTTCGGTGTGGACGTACCTTTAGGTTACATTTAAGTCGCAATTTGGAAATGACCACTGATGGAAAAGGTACTGTCATAGATAACTTAGGCACAGTATTTGATTTACATAGCTAAATAAGGTTAAATAACATTTTATCTTAAACAATTTGTCAGTGAATCACGTTCATGGATCCATCTCATAAATATGGCAAACATAAACAGGTCCACCACGTAGAAAGTGGTGAAAAAGTAGTAAAGGCGAGAAGTGCGAAGTGTGGGAAACATTTGTGGCAAATAGGTAGTTGTATCCATACTAAAATGCTATTGGAAGGGAGGGGGGAAACAAGTTCACGACGTAGGAGGTTGTGGAGGAGTAGTAAAGGCTGGGAGTGCGGAGTGTGGGAACAGTTTGTGGCAGTTAGATTAATGTATCTGCAATACTATAATGCTATGGGAAGGAAGGGAAACAGACCCACAACATAGGAAGTGGTAAAGGTGCTGAGTGTGGGAACCCTTTGTGGTAGTTAGATTAATGTATTGGCAATCCTAAAATGCTATGGGAAGGGAGGGAAACGGTCCACAATGTAGGAAGTGGTGAAGGAAGTAGTAAAGGCTAGCAGTGCAGAGTGTGGGAAAATTTTATATTATATTTTATATTATATATTATATTTTGTATTGTATTTTATATTATATCTATAAATATTTTTTTCATTGTTTTATTAAAAAACATGAAACAACATGATTGCTGCTCCGCTCAACTGGTTTTCACTGCTATGAAAGCAATCCTAGTTTAAAGAGTAGGCTGATTCACCTTAGCTGTAGCTAAATTTATATCTCCAAAATATATTGTTTCATCACATATTGTATTTGTGAGAGATAAATCATTACAGTATATACACAAAACATATTAAAAATATAATCTATCTATACTATTACTAGCTGACCCGGCGAACTTCGTATCGCCTAAGTTATAGGTTTCCCCTAAGACAGACCGATGGAAAGAAAGTACGGTTACGTTTAATTTTCAAGATGATCTCGTTCGCATCGCTCAATCACGTCCTGGTTGAAGTTCGTTCGCTACGCTCACTCACCTTTGGGTTGGAGCTCGTTCGCTACGCTCACTCACCTTTAGGTTGGAGCTCGTTCGCTGCGCTCACTTGCCTTCAGGTTAGCTCGTTCGCTACGCTCACTCGCCTCCAGGTTGAAGTTCGTTCGCTACGCTCACTCACCTTTTGGTTGCAAATTAGCTGTTGTCATAAATGTAAAAGAAATAATAGTGCTGCACCCTGTTGGTAATCCTCGTAACTTTAATGCTATTGAACATCATAGAACAGAACCAACTTGTTTAATTGAAACAGCTGTTAAGATTCATTAATTCCATTTCTCATAAGGTTAACTTGGGAAACTCCAGAGCCACTGGGGCGGATCCCTTTTAAGAATTTCGAAACGGGAAATAGTTTACGTCCGATTCGCATACCTACAGAATTTACACACCAAATTTCATAACGATCGATGAAGTCGTTCCGGAGGAGTTTGCAGACAAACACTGTGACACGAGAATTTTATATCTATATATATAAAATCCAATGCATGTTTGTATATTTGTATGTTTGTATATTTGTATGTTTGTCCTTTATGGACTCCGAAACCGCTCGACAGATTGTAATGAAACCTTCAGGCATTATTAAGCATTATTCAAGGATGGTTTGTGTGAAGTTTGGTGCAGATCCGTCAAAAAAGCTCCGCCCCAGTGGCTCTGGAGTTTCCCATGTTAACCTTATGAGTACTCATATTTAAATGGAATTAAAGAATCTTAACAGCTGGTTCAACTAAACTATCTGATTCTGTGATGTTCAATAGCATTAAAAAGAGGTGGTTGCTGTATGTGTGTATGGGAAAAGTAAACTCGAAAAATACTGGTCGGATTGGGCTGAAATTTGGCATGATGATAGCTCACATTCCCGATTAACATATAGGCATATTATTAACATATAGGCATATTCTTATTTCAAAAATCCTTTCGGGCTCCGCCCCAGTGGCTCTGGAGTTTCCCATGTTAACCTTATGAGAAATGGAATTATTGAATCTTAACAGCTGTTTCAATTAAACAAGTTGGTTCTGTTCTATGATGTTCAATAGCATTAAAGTTACAAGGATTACCAACAGGGTGCAGCACTATTATTTCTTTTACATTTATGACAACAGCTAATTTGCAACCAAAAGGTGAGTGAGCGAGCGTAGCGAACGAACTTCAACCTGGAGGCGAGTTAGCGTAGCGAACGAGCTAACCTGAAGGCAAGTGAGCGCATCGAACGAGCTCCAACCTAAAGGTGAGTGAGCGTAGCGAACGAGCTCCAACCTAAAGGTGAGTGAGCGTAGCGAACAAACTTCAACCAGGTCGTGATTGAGCCATGTGAACGAGATAATCTTGAAAATTAAGAAGTTAAACGGGGCAAAGCCCGCGGGTTACAGCTAGTACATGATAATATTGTTTGTGACCTGTTAAAATGAGTGATACGCCTACCACAGTAAAATTAAATGGTTTGTCCCACATTTGTATTAAAAAACCTCAGAATGATATGCATCCTTTAGGTAGTGATTTTGAGATGTGTGATCAGAATTAGACTAGGCTCATGCCTTGTAGTAGGTACCTAATCTTATAATTTTTTATGAAACATAACAGTAATAATTAATAAAACAAACTTTACCTCTCATTCCACTTTATTACTGTTTCAGAATAGTGTAAATTAAAAGATTTTATAGTAGTATGTTTTTTTTTTTAGTTATTCCCCATTGCCTCATATTTAGTCTATTTATCATGGTTATTTATGAATAGGTGTCGTTGAATCCTTTTCAAAACTGCGTATATTTTTTCAATCCTTTCAAAATTTCGGAACTTAAATTTGTTGCACTATTTAATTTGTAATTTCAAGTTGTCACAAGATTGAGCAAATCGTACCTCTATCCTCAACTCAAAAATGTACTGATCGAATATGATCTAATGAAGTTTAATTTTTGTGTTTAACTTTAGTTGTCAATGTAAACTGTTTATTTTAGTAATATGTACAAAGTACACACATTGCTGGAGTTGGCATAACCAGGTAAAAAGCCACAAACAAAGAAACCAAAGGTAAAAGTTAAGGGTCCAATTACCCTAAGGCGTTTGCTCCCCTGTTTCATCACTCCCCCTTCTCAAACACTTGGAGACCCAAGTAGGCAGTATCACCCCATCTGTTCTACACCTTGTTTTTATCCAATATCTCTTTTTGTTTTAATATTTACTATTATTTAATTTAAAACTATGTTAATTGGTGTTTGGAGGCCTATTAAATATTGTAAACCTGAGTCGAGGATTGTTTGAAACTTTTATTTTTTACTCTAGAAATCGTAATATGAAAAAAATATTAGTGTTTATTTAAATTTTATTTCAATGTTTAATGGTTGTATGGAGGATTCGAAATTAATGCAAACTAAATTTAAAAATAAGGAAAATTAGATAAAAATATTTAAAACACTATTCAATATTACTATTTATACAGATTTACCCTATTAAAAAAAAAAAAATCTCTAAGCCAGAATATATTATTAGTCCTTTTCCGTTTATTTACTACTACTACTTTTTATTGCTATTCCGATATTTTTAACAGATAGCCTATTCTATGAATATATCAATTTCAAAATTAAACTATTCTAAACCAACCTAACCAACCAAATTTGCTGATTAAATGAAAAAATTAACATAAAAGGGCCTATTAGGCTCTAGACTATTTTATTTGTTACTAAAAAAAAATAGTTTATTAAATTTATTTTTTAAACAGAACGTTGTTTTGTTGTTACAGATTCCTGATGGTCAACGATTGTTGTTATAATCATACATATGGCAAATATGTAGCCAGAAAAGCAACAAACGTTACAACTAATCCCACAGGTGAGTTAATTTAAGTTTACATTCTATCATGTTTTTGGTTTTTATTGAGTCACTAAAGTTTCAGAAATCACTTGAAAACAGTAACAGTTTTCTTTTTATAATTTTAAAAGGCATGGTTAGTAAATAGTGTAGTTTTGTCAGTATCACACTTATAAATTATCTATACTAATTTGATTGTTCATCCCCAGAAATTATAAGTGACGATTTCAAAATAATGATTTGGGAAAAAACAGAAAAATACAGTGCATTTATATAATTTACTTAGTGATTGATTAAATTTGGCAATTTTCCTTATTTAACAGCTACACTAAGTAGGCCTATATTAAAAGAAATCCTTTGTGTTGAAAATCATAGAAAAGTCAGTTTTTCTTAAGAGAACTGGTTTGCACTCAGTTTAATTAGAAAGAAAAGTTGAATAATTTTCAGGTATCAAAATAATTACCTAAAAATCTAATTCTGTCTCTAATGAGTTTTAGAAATTTTGTTGCTACAAATCTTAGCATAGCTTTATTGTTTGCCTAGGGTTTGCATCCAGTCTTCACTCAGATAGTAACAGTACAATTATTTTGATTGTCAATGTTACCTATTTAAAGCTATGCTATTTTTACTAATGTTAATGTTTATTTATTTGTAGATTAAAATCTTCTCACTTAAAAAATACGAACAGTTTATATTATACAGTGTGTTCAAAACAGGTGGGGATATAATTTGTGTAGTGATTCCTTCGGTCACAATAAAGAGAAAATCAAGAATAAATTTTTCCCAAAATCACTTCATTAACCAGATATCTGCCATTTTGTAAAAAAACACATTTTTATCTTAAGATTGTTTCAACCGATCTTTATGAATCTTAGTGAATGTTAAGGTGACACCCGTTAGAGAATGTTACATTGATCAAATTTAAAATATCAAAATGGCGGCCATTTTAATTTTTTACATTTAAATTAGCCTACAAGAAAATGGCTCATTTTATGAAAAAATGTCAAGAACACTCTTATTTAACATTTAAAATGTCCTATCAAATGACACTAAGTTCAAATAGATTGAATAACAAATAACTGAAATATCTTGATTTTTACTTTATAAAATGGGGTAGAATAAGGCTAAGCTAGTTATTACATTTTTAACTTGGTAATATTGGATACCGTAGTAAATTAAAAGTGTTCTTGACATCTTTCCATAAAATCAGCCATTTTTTATAATTATAATTTAAATAATTAAATTGGGTGTCATTTTAAAAGGTTGTATTGAGTCAAGATAATTGTTTTCTAATATGGGTTTCTTCTACCTTATCATATCATACATACCAATTTGCATAAAGATTGGTTGAAAAAATCTAAAGATAAAAATGTTTATGTAAAAATACAAAATGGCGGATATCAGGTTAACAAAGTAATTTTGGGAAAAAAAGTTTTATTCTCAAATTTCTCTTTATTTTTTATCCAAGGAATCACTATGTAAATTATGTCCCCACCTTTTTTGAACACCCTGTATACTGGTATACTGGTATAATTTTTAAAGGTTGCAACCAGAATTACAAGTCAACTCTCCTGCACAAATAATGTAGGTGGTCTTTGATTCTGTGATTACCTATGTCAAATCTAATAAAGGCTGTGGTCAATCAAAAGTAAATAAACAAAATATACTTGTATTTCTGGTGTTAATAGTATAAGAATCCATTTATTTAGAAGTATTTGTTAAATTATAAGAAATAAGTAATTTATTTGGCCTGAAGCAATATATAAATGCATTGGAAATTTCAGTAGACATTGTAGGATAATAAAAGTTTTTCACAAAAAACCCAACATTTCTTACGCCAATGACACTTTTAAAAATGTTTGGAAGGAAACAGTTGGAACCTTGGTTTTGTACTATATCTCTCCGTTTGTTCTTAATCGTCATTAATCCTTAGCCTAATGACAAATGGCATCTTGTGATTTGAACAGGTAAAAAACTGGTTTCTTGTACAAATAAACATTTTTGTACTCTGTGTTTAGTCACATGTGTGATTGATAAATTAAGTACTCCTATTAAGATTGCTATTGAAACTCTGTTGTTGTTCTTTTGTTCAAAATGGTTTTGTTTGTTCCAGGAATGGTGGGAAGAAGAGGACGCGATAAAACCCTGTCCTCCAATCCCTTGATTACAAAACTAGTTTTGTTTTAATTTATTTTATTTATATAACTTTATATAGCTTACTGTTACTTTTTTATAGTTTATTAGTGTAATTTATTTTCCTACAAAATATTTTATCAGATATTATTTTGCTAGTTTTATTTGGTTTTCAATGTTAAACAGTATAACTGTTACATTAAAAGTTAAACTTTAAACATTGAATGAAATGAAAGACTCGGGAGTGGTTGTCAGCGGGGCTGCTGCTCAGCAGATAATTGTTACAAACAATAATATCATTCAGAAAGAAACGTCGACCATAATGAGTGCACGAAAACTTCCAAAGAAGAGGAAATTTGATCCGTCAGAGTTAGACGAGACGGATAAACCAGTTATTTCAGAGAATCACATATCCGGTGTGGTAGTGATGCCTCCTCAGTCTATGGCTGTCGACTACTCCTGTCTGAGCACTTCCAAATACCAGGAAGTAGAGAGGAGAACATCCTATGATATGCCGCCGGTCATAAAAGTCGAAGATAGGAGCGAGCCTATCTTACCCAAAGAGAGTGATCTCCCTGAAGAACCGACAAACTTGAATATACAAGAGATGAATTTGCAAAGGAGAATAAACGGAAGAACAGACATAGACTTGCGAGAGTGGATGGATCACAGAGTTTTAGCGAAAAAAGAGCAATTTTACTACCCGGGTAAAATCCGGCAGGCCGGGTGTAACGGGGAGATTTGGGTAGAGTTCGATAACTTTGAGGGGAAAATGGCCATCTTCACTGATGTTTTGTGTTCTGGGAAATACAATGTGATTAGTGACGCAAGCCCTTCCCTGCAACAAATACATTTGGGTGTGCGAGTGTGCGTGAGGGCAGCAATAGACGATAGTCAGACGGGACAGACGGTGTTTGTGGAAGGTTATGTCAGTAAGATCATGAACTCCCCTCCGCGGTTCTTGGTGAAACTGAACCACTCTGGGGCAGAGACTGTAGCAAAGCGGGCGGAGTTGCGACTGCTGCAGCCTCCGTGGAGAGATGAGCTGGAGGAGTCGGAGGAGAGGAACGGACAAATACCTCTACAACTGCAACATGTAGTGCCTACCTTGCAGCCCTCAAACAACTACTACAGGTCAGTGCCTTGACAACCTGGGTAATTTTTACAATTTTATTTTCTGTTTAGGCAATTTTAAAGTTTATTGTAAGGTAAATATCCAAACTCTGTTTCTGTTAATATCTTAAGCCCCATGACAAATGGCATCTGACGCCTCAAAACAGTTAAAACATGATTGTTAGCTATCTAAAAGCTGGAATAATGATTTCTTAAAAATAAATACATGAACTATATAGAGCATAATTTATTGTGGATTTTAAATTGACATTTTATCGTAGGGGGTCACACTATCAATGTTGCCTAAAGTAAAAAAAATCCTAAAAATTGGGTGTCATAAAATATTAGTTTAAATGGTTTTCTATTGCGAAGGTCCATGACAACGTCTCCTCTCCACAACAACATGTCAGCGACCCCGATCAGTCTACATTCTGTGTCTACGGCTCTGTCTAACGCTAGCGGAGACGATCTCAGACACCGCAACTATGAGGACTTTGAGAGTGACGACGATCTGCGCAGAGAAGACATCTTCCTTCTCACTGATGCAGGTAAGGGTTATAAGGGTGTTAGTGTTAGGTTAGACTTTTTTTTAAAGATTAAAGTTAGCTCTTTCAAAATTCCACTTGCAAACAACTATCCATGCAAGTAGGCCTATAACTCAACCAAGAAGTTAAAAGGCTATACTTGACACGTGCTGAAACCTGGAAGTAAAGTTTAGAGGTGCAGTAAAACCCCTTTTACCCGCACCATGTTAAACCTAAACACAGGTTTATCAAAACCATAACAAAATAGGTCTAATCAATTGGAAAATTGAGCCCGACTTGAGCAACAGTGTAACGAAGCATGATAGCACGGTTCCTTATTATAATAAAGAAAAAAAATTTTGAAAACAACTTAAGAACTAGATTTTGTGTATACAGTTGTAGATTTCAAGTTAACAGTTATTTAACTTAAACCTACTTTTCTACTTCTCTTTTTGAGCTGTAATATCCTTAAAAAATTGTAATCAACCGAAAATAAGGGTTATCCAAAATGGCCTCACTCCTCTGATACAGGAAAATAGAGGTTTTACCGAATAACCCAACTAATGAAGCTGAAAGATTTGCCTAACATGTACTGCTACCCGGAAATGAAGTTTAGATGTACTATGCTTGGGTTAACCAAAATTTTTAGTGCAGTTGGGTCTATGGCCTAGTGGTAAAAAGAGATGTAGCCTTGGCTAGAAGATGGTATTGCAGATTAAGGGTTTGGTTTGAATCTATTGTTGGTCGGTGTACAAATAATGAAAATGTCACCTGTCTACCCAACTTTCCGTAAAACATAGTAAGAGGCGTATCCAAATAATCGATGGAAGTCGACTTGAGTGAATTCTTTACAAGTTTCACCAGTAAACAGGCATTTGGCTTATTGTATGTGCCCAATGAAAACTTGTTAACCAAATTTGTATTAAGAAATTAGGTAAGACCCCAAAATGTATCTTTAATTAAATAATTAAACATTGCTAGTGGTAAATGGTTAATCTAACTCTACGTAAGTCAGTATTACGCCCTACTTATCAACTGACCAATAATAAACGTCAAAGAATCAGTTGCTGAGAGTGTGTCATGTTTATTATCAAGCGATAAGATAGCAAAGCTAAAGTTGTTTGAATAAAGGAAAACAAAAGATTGTTCGTATTCCTTATTTTTAATATGCGACTAACTAAAACGATTCAAAGTAAAAAAATTTCAAATCAATAGTTATACCATGATTTGTGTGTTTTTTAGTAGTCAACACTCTTATTCTTGTCCTTTTCCAAGTTTTCAAAAGTTGTCGATTGAGTAATTTAGTAATAAGTACAGTCCCACAACTCCTTTTGGTGCTGAAGTAGACATCCCCTCTATATATGCACCAGATGTAGCCGATTATTTTCAAATATAACAGATACATTAGTTCAATGTACATGTATCCACATAGAGTGTGCTCTAGTCTCAAATTTGATTTTCTCTCTTAGTTTTGATTACTGAGATAGTTTATGTGACTCGTTAATCAGTCGGCGGATCAACAAAAATGAGTAGGCCTAATTACATCAGCACACCCCCGTCACTGGCTTAATTCAATCACATCAGTTTCTCTTCTCGCCTTCAGCTTGGATTCTGATTCTAAGTCCGTCAATAGTTAAAGATACCACTCAGTTGCATATTGTGTGTTGGATTCAGTGGAATGTTTGATTATTCTGCAGATGGCTGCAAGTTGTCCGGCAGCAGCAAACGCAGCAGTATGCAGAGCCGAGGCAGCACGTCTAGTCTGATGGATCACGGCAGCATCACTCCCCGCTCCACCCCCGCTACTCCCAGGTATGGAACAGCATACGGTTACTTAGCAATAGTCACGAACGTCCGTTAGTTTTTTGTTAATAGGTAAAATAATACTATTATTTTTGACAACTATTACTTCCTTGTCCAGTATGTCTTAGCTGGTTGCTCTTAATAGGAAGACACGGTTAGCCTTGTTTCATTTTCTAACACTTTAATTTTCAGATATCTGTCATATTGTATTATGTTCTTTCTTCCCTACTTAGGTAATCTGTTTTATTTACTTACATAACCATACTTACTCCTGTTGCCATTGATAACCAAGCGGTCTTGGCTTTGCCAACCATGTGCCTCCAGGATCCCCTGTCCTCTGCCAGCTCCAGGTCTGCTCCCATACTCCTTAGGTCCTTTGTAACTTTGTAAATCCATCACATACTTGGTCTTTCCAAGGGTCTCCTGCGCTCCCGAGTTAGTACCTCTTATCACCTACCATCTCTCTCTCACCTATTTGTTGATTGTGGCCCAGCCACCTCAACCTTCTACTCTTTACCACTCCCACAATATCTGGATCCCTATATAATTCCCTCGACTCCCTATTTTTTCTTATTCTCCTAGAGGTATAAAAAAAAGCCACAACATTAGATGTTTCAGATACTTTTGATAACTAATCTGACCATTTCTATGGTGTTAGATGTTGCACTTGTTCAACTAACTTTATGTTTCTTTCATCTATCATTTACCTTCTTTCCAGTAGGTAATTTTATATTTTGTACAGTATTGGATGTTCTAAACGCTTGCATTTGTTATCTGCGTTGTGTAAAGTTGTGTTTCTGATTGACTTGTTAACAAAACATTTCAGATCTCAAGCTGCGACGCCTCATAAGTACAAGAAGGGAGACGTAGTGTCCAATCCGAGTGGTATCCGTAAAAAGTTCAATGGGAAACAGTGGCGGCGGCTCTGTTCCAAGGATGGCTGCACCAAGGAGTCTCAGCGCCGAGGATACTGCTCAAGGCATCTCAGTCTTAAGGGAAGCAGTCTGCGAGCCGGGCCAACTAGCTTCCCTCGGTGAGTGGCGAAACAGAGACGGAAGCAATTGTTTTTGCCCTCTTCCAATCCTCTAGGATACATAGGCTAGGCCTGGATAATGTTAACCTTATCACATGGATAATGTTAACCTTATCACAACGCCTTTGGCGATTGTTGCATTTGATTCTGGAACCATGGGACTTAAGTCTTATGCTACACTAGACCAGCTCGCTAATAACGTACTATTGGTTGACATGTAGGTTAACGTTTTGATTATGGTTGGTAGACATTCCATTTCCTGTTTTGATGCGAGTTTTAGAATTAAATTGAAAATTAGTTGAATTGAGTGAATTGTTCACTTCTTTTTATCACGCCAAATTTTTAACCAAGCCAAACTATTGTAAGCTATTGCGTATTTTATAACGCTAGTCATATCAGTAAAATATAATTTTAATTTTAGACTAGCACACTATTTAACTAATTCCAAAAACAAATTCGTACACGGTTTACTTTGTAAATTGGCTCGTAAGCCCTTTTCATATTCCACCATACTAAAGCCAGGTTTACTCCCCTAGTTGGTGAGACAGTTGTCTTCACCAATTGTCATCACGTGATTGCGGGAGGGTCGGAGACCAGTTGTCCTGCTTGTTGTCCTCAAGTGTACTCCCCGATACAACTGAATTTCAGGGCAACTGTGAGGGCAGTTGGTCTGAAGTGTTAACTTGAGGCCAATAATTTCATGCCAGTCTGTTGACTTCTGACAGTTGTCTCACCAACCAGCTTAACAGCTGTTACTACCATTTAGATGCTACATGGATGCTACATCTCCTCTAACACTATTTGTTAAACTTGAGCTGAAATAGAGTAAATTTATGCTCTTATAATACAATATAAATTTACTATAATTTTTACTTCAAGTTATCTATGAATTTTGTTTAGTCTAAATGTTGGGTATTTACAGTAGTTCCAATGTACTGCACTTAATTTTCGATTTTGCTTTTTCAAATCTACATGTAATTCAATACTTTTTATTTTAGAATAGAATTTAGCAACTCCAAAAATCACAGCATGTATCTACTAATGCAAGTAGTTGTTAGAATATGTTCTATAATAATATAAATGTTGTGCAGGGGCAAGAGCAGTTTGTTGGACGGGGAGGAGACCTCACGAGACTCAGACACGTCTCCTAACTACGGAGATCGTAGAATCACCGGACGCTTCGACCCTGAGGAAACTGAGGCCGCTAACATGCTTGGTGAGTCTCTTATCTGATTGTGAAGTCTGACTCACTACATTACTTACTTACTAACAGCCATGGCCACTTGTACCCAAGCTGGTACTATCTCGCCAACATGTTGTCGCCAGTTCTCTCGGTCCTCTGAATCTTCCTTTACTAGTCTCATCTCTTCCATATCTTTCCGGACTTGATCCCACCACCTGGCCTTTGGTCTTGACACTGGTCTCCTTCACCTTGTATCTCCCCTCAGTATCATCTTCAACAAGCTCTCCTCATTTCTCATAAAGATATGGCCAACCCACCTTAGCCTTCTGCTTTTGGCCTCTCCTAGAATATCGGGGTATTGGAATGATTCTCTTAATTCTTGGTTGTGGCGGATTCTCCATACTCCGTCTTCACACATTGGACCTTATATAGCTCTTATAAATTCATTCTCATTTATAATCTTTTCCGTGTTTTTGCTCAGGATCCAATTTTCCCCTCCGTATAAAAGAACTGGTCTAGTTATTGTTTTGTAGATTCTAATATTTGTTTTCCTTGATAACTCACTACATTGTGAATCGTAAATATTATGTAATACTTCTGCTTGTCGACTAGGTTCCTCCTCAATCTCCTTGCCTGTCACAGTTCCTCTCCCACGACCATCTGCTAAATCATTTCTCTGATGTCCTCATCCATCTAAACTTATCCTTTCACCTTTTCTCACGTTTTACCTTTCAGTTAATAATGTGTGGTGATTGTTGATAGAAATCCATGAATGTCGACTACCATCCATTTTCATAGTCAACGTATAATAATACAGTGGAACCTCGATAAGAAGACCCTCGATGACACTTGGTAACCAGTGTCATTTTCAAAACCCCATGAATTTATTTTACCCCAAATCACATGTTATTGCAAACCTCAATAAGAAGTCAACCTTGATAACAAGTCTCATTTATTAATCCCCTTGAGAGTCTTGTTATCAAGGTTCTACTGTAAAAATAATGGTTGAAAAAAACAATCCTAAGAACAAAGCGGCTGAAATACTGGTAACTGTGTATGGATTTTGTACTGAGAACTGTGGAAGCCTACTTATAAGAAAATTTACCACAATGAACTGTTGTGTCCAGTGTCGCTGGGTAGTTCCCGCTCGGCCACACCAGCGTTCTCCTCACCCACCGGCGGCCCGGCTGTGTCTCCGTGTACCATGCAGAGTCCAGTGACTGTCGGCCCACGACACAACATGTTCCAACCAATCAACAACAGCCATAACCACAACCACAATCACTCCCACAACCGGCCGCGGCAACCACACCCCTCGCCTGTCCAACACCACTTCATGCTTGGCAACTTCCAACAGCATGTGATCAGGTGAGGCTCGAACCCTAGTTGAATGAAACAGACGAGTTTTGTGTCCAGCCGAAATGAAAAACCAAGAATTTTATAAAAGTTTAAAATTTAAAATCCCTGGATCCGTTTGTCTATCTAGTATCCTACTGTTTGTGGTAAAGATGACAAACCCAACGATAACGGTAAGTTTCTATCTAAACATTTTGAATTTCAACCTGCAAAACCTGGAATTTTCCTCAAATTTTATTTTCATACTGCTAGACATACTTTACATGATTAAAGTTTGGGAAGTTAGATGAAATTGTTTCCAAAACAGGAAAAAGTATTGTCTATGTACATTGCAATTTTGTTCCACATCCTTAAAATGTTTTAAAGAATAAAAATTTTCAATTACTCTGATAAAATAAAACTGTGCAACTTTTACAGGCCAGAGCTGGTGAGGCCGATCATGATGCAGCAAGGGTCCCCGCCTGGTGGAGGAATGGCTACGAGTGTGATCCGTATATCTCCGGGGCTAGGCGGGGCTGCCTGGAGAGGGGACACTCCCCCACTGCCCCCCGCACCTGCTCCCCCACCTCTCACTCAACACAGCGTCGTGGTCAGCTCTCATTCACATAACATACTGCAACAGGCGCTTACAGCTGGTGATGTGAGTACATCACTGGTGTTACTAGTCCTAATCCTACTGATATTATAAGTGTGAAAGTGCATGTAACAGGCCTACCAGAGTGGGATAGAGTTCGCTTTGGCACAAGAAACACAAAACCTTAACTCTCTTAGTGCTACGGCGCTCTACCCAATGTCATAGTGAAAGTTCCAGGCCGCGCTAGGATATCTGAACCAACATTGCAAAGTATGGGGAAGTCATTCATTACTCCCTAACTTTTTAATATATTTGAGAGATATCTTTTATGTGATGACTAGTAGGCCACTAAATTATTTTTTATGTGATGACTAGTAGGCTACTAAATTGGGTAGCAGATTTTTATCCCCCTGGGATTTTACCACCTGGGCAAACATGACGTCACAAACCAGGGGGTAAAATTCTGGACATGAACTTTTGAGTTTCGCGACATCAGTTCGATGGATCAAACGCGGAATTAAAAGTATATTTTCACGGTTGTGAATTTAATCAGAACACATCAAATTTAGTGAGAATGGTTAATTCTCTTTATTCAGTTTTAATTTAATAGTAAACATTTTATTGTTAAGTAGCCTATCTTAATTTATTTGTAACATCAACTAATCAAACATTTTTTTTGAATTTTAATTTTGAGATTCGAGTATCAGGATTTGATCATTGAAGCCAACTGATGGTTAATATGATCAAAATTAAACAGCGAATTCTGTTTACTTAGTTGAGATTACAAAATAAATAAAGATAGGCTACTTAATAATAAAATGTTTACAATTAAATAAACATATAAATAAGAAAATCAATCATTCTTAAATTTCTATATCCGGCCAGGGGGTAAAATTCCGGGGGTAAAATTCCAGGAGTAAAAATCCTGGGGTAAAATTTCGGGGGTAAAAATCCCGCACGTACATCTTCAGTTGTCCAAACGCTAGTTATATAGACAGGGGGTAAGATTCCGGTTTTTATTGCTAATCTAATTTTCAATTTCAATTTCTTTATTCATTGAGAAGTATACATAATACAGCATTTGAATAGTGTCAAAGATTACAATTATTAAAATATAAAATACAGATTAAAAATAAATCTTAAATTAAAAAATACATCTCCCTATACAGATGCCTTCTTTATATCTAGTATTCTTGAGGGAGGTGGAAAAATTCTTCTTGAGAATAAATTGCCATGTTTATTAAGAAATTTTTTAGTTTTGTTTTAAACTTTTTTGGATCTTTTTCATTTTTAATTACTCCGGGGATATGTTTAAGAAAACTTTTACCAGCAAATGATGGCTTTTTTTCATAAAACTTTAATCTGTGCCTATTTTGCAAAATCTGATTTTTTTTCTTGTTTCATATCGGTGAACCGGTAGATTGGATACATCGGATGAGGTTTTATTTTTAAAAATTAAAATTGAATCATAAATATACTGCCCATAAACAGTTAGTATGTTTAGCTGTTTAAAGTGCTCTTTTGCCGAGACATCCGAATTTAGTCTGAGCATTACTCTCACTGCTCTTTTTTGATGTTTTAATATTTTATCTAGATTGATTTGAGTTGTTGCTCCATATAAACAGATACCAAAGGAAATATGTGAATGGATATATGCAAAGTAAATGTTTTTCAAAGTTTTGACATCACAGTACACAGACATTTTTGAAAGGGCAAAAATTCCAGAGTTGATTTTTGAAACTATTTTTTTTGTATGATCATTCCAATTCAAATTTTGATCTATTGTTAGACCCAAAAAGTTTGTGCTGGTCTTTTGCTCAATAAGTTACGAGTCATACATTATTATTGGGTGATTGGAATTTTTATTTTGTGGTGTTTTAAATGTGATAAAATTAGTTTTTTTGTTATTTAATTTTAGGTTTTGGCACACCAGATAACTGCCCAAATTTCCAAGTTCTAGAAAAGCAGAAATTTCCGTTTGTTCCAGTGTAGGAGAGGAAATAATTAAATTAGCATCGTCAGCATACAGGCACAATTCACTTCTAGGTCTACATACTAGGACACTGCTTATGTCCTTTAAATAGCACAAAAATAGCAATGGTCCTAGAATAGACCCTTGAGGCACTCCATATTTTATTGTTTTAATTTCTGAGGCAGTTTGAATAATTTTATTATTTTTTAATTGAGTTATTTCAACATATTGAGTTCTATTACTCAGATAGGAATTAAACCATTGCAATGCATTTTTAGTTATTCCAAGCAATTTCAATTTATTCAATAATATTGGATGTTTTACACTATCAAAAGCTTTAGATAGATCCATGAATATGCCAATTGTTGTTTCACCTCTATCAACCGATTCAATAACTGACTCTAAAAATGATACTGCTGCAGTGACTACCGACCTTCCAGGCCTAAAACCATGCTGGTAATCATCAAGTAAGTTAAACTTTTCAAGATAATCACTCAACTGATTGTAAACAATTTTTTCATAAATTTTGGAAACAGTTGGAAGAAGTGAAATGGGTCTGTAGTTTATTACATCTGTCTCATCGTCTTTTTTATGCAGAGGGATAATTTTTGCCTTTTTTAATTGATCTGGAAACAAACCAGAAATGAAGGAAGAGTTTATCAGGTGAGCCAAAACTTTACTGATATTATGACCTACTTTCTTAAGTAAATTAATAGGTACATCATCATGCCCGCTAGGCTTTTTGTTCTTTAGCGATTTCAATACGTTTTCCACCTCCTTCTCATAAACACTCTCAAAACTAAACTTAGGTTTCAGAAAGACATCTTGTTGAAAACTGGATGGGATTTCATGTGTTACATTTGATTCCCATTGGCTGTTATTAGGATCTAGATCTTCCACCACATTTAAAAAATATTCATTGAAGATATTTGAAATTAATATGGGATCCTCAACAAGATGCGTGCCTCTTAACAGTTTTATTTTATTAAGGTGTTTTTGTTTTTTATTTCCAACTTCCGAGTTAATAATGTCCCATACAGTTTTTTGGATATTAGAAGAATTATTAATTTTTTTTGCAAAATAGTTAGATTTGGTTTGATTCAATATTTTCTTAAAGTCTTTTACTTCTGTTTTGAAAATATCCTTGTATTCATGTTTTTTGTTGTTTCTGATTTCCTTGCTGATTTCTATGAGTCTGTGACGTTTGATTTTTATTTCTTCTGTAAGCCAACTATTTTTTTTTATTTATTTTTGTTATTAAAGTTTTTGGAAAAGCCAATTCAAAGTAATAACTAAATGTTTTTTGGAAGATGTCAAATTTATTTTCTACAGGAGCTAAATAAACATCAAGCCATTTTTCATCTTTTATAAGTTTAACAAAATATTCTATGTTTTCACAAGAAAACTTACGAATTTCTTGCTTAATAATTGGCGGTTTGTAATGCTTTTCTAAGTTGGGAATTTTAATTTTTAAGATTTGCCCATCATGATCTGATAAACATGTTATTATGCCTGTAATCGTCATATCACAAGATTTTGATGCATTTACAAGAAAGTTGTCAATGGCTGTTTTTGTGTTATTTGTTACTCTAGTTGGAAAATTGACCATATATTTCATGTCATGGCTTTTCAATAGGTCTTTCAGTAAATTATGTTTATAATCATCTTTAATAACATCAATGTTTAGATCTCCTCCTATTATCACATTGGTATATTTTTTTTTTAAACAATCAATCACAGTACTTAATCTGTCTAAAAAAGTTTTTATATTTGAATTTGGAGATCGATAAATGCCTATTACTAACAATTTAAAATTACCTTTGATAAAACAAGAGGCACACAGCTCAAACTGTTTTTCCTCCAAATACTTATCCTTTAGGAAATTAGGTAGAGCCACCTGCTTCCAGTTCAAACCCTCTTCAGACAGTATCATAACCCCGCCCTTCCTGGATTTCTTCCTACAAAAGAAAGCACGAACCGTGTAGTTGTTTAAATTGATCCGGGATATTTAATCTTCTTTTAAATCGTGTTCTGACAGGATAACAATGTTTGGTTTTAATTCGTTAAGTGTTACTTCTAGTGAATTGATTCTAGAGCCTAGGTGTTGAATATTTTGATGAAATATTTTTACTATTGCATTATCTACTTTATTGGAGGTGTTACACTGGCTGCCAAGTTTAAAGAAGAAGCAGGTGACTGATTTACAATCATTGACTCTTCACTGTTGTTGAGGCTGGGCTGACTGTTGTTGGTTGGAGTGGTCTCAGAGGAAGGCTGAAGTTGGAGGGTTTGTAGATCAGATGTCTGCTTGTGATTTGGTAAGTCGTCTAAGCCAGTTCTTGATAACATCTGGATTGTAGAAGATGCCAGTAGAGGTGGAAAATGACTCAGGGACTTGATACATACATATGGATGGTATATTTTCATTTCTTGCTTGTGGTTTCTCAATACAATCCACGCCATGGTTTTCTTGTTCCAGCATTTTTGTTTTCATCAAGATGACTTCTTCGAGTTGTTTCATAAATTCTTTTCCAGATAAACCATTTTTCAATTTTGTATATGGATCTTTGTAATAAATCACCACATTAATCTTGGCCTCTGTACATCTCTGGAAGGATAGCAAACTATCCACAAAATGTTCAACAGATATTCTATCATGAACACATCCCATAGGGGAGCATATCAGATTCTTCAGTTCCCTTTTTTTAAAGTCAACTGCCAGTTGTTGGAAAGCCAGATCGTAGTCCTTTTTCAGTGGTTTTTTGTAATACTGATCCTTTGTAAGGAGGGTGTACACAACAGGTCCTGAGTTAAGTTCTTGACATGCCAGATACTCATTGTAGCACTGTGACGGTGATGGTCTGCCGAATTCCCTTCTAAAAACGGTTGCAACTCCGGCGCTCATATTCTTCTCAACATCCAAGTCCCGAGAGGCACAGTGAGCAAAGGCAACACTGGCATCATTTTTAAATTCATTAAACATGTTTTTCATGTGAGATTTAGTCACCCTGATCTGTTTCTCATTTATTTTGTCTTCTGTTACAGTTTTATCTTCTCGATCAGTTACCGTAACCAATCCTTGGATATCTTCTTT